CACAAAAGATGATGGCAATAGGTCACCATGAGCTTTTGGATTATGTGACCTAATTCATCTTTTATCAAGAATCTCCCCTTCATCAATATTTGATATAAAGAGTATTTTATTGAGCTTTCTTACACAGAAATAGTACAATTCACTGCTTTGTCAGGTTTAAATGAACCCCTATGAACTGACGGAGGCCTACTTCTATATGCTACTCAAAACAGTGCATGCAGGTCAAAGGTCAAAATAAAGGTCACATAAATCTTCCTCTTACAAACAATGCAATTACGTCTTTGAAGGAAGGATCTATCATTAGCATAATTATTACAATTAGGAACTCTTTTAAAATGGGAGAGATTTTAGACAAGTTATTGGGGCAACTCTGAAAACAAGCAAACATGACGGTATCAAACTACTGGTGATTGTCGTTGAACGATTTTAACATTATCATATTTTCTTGGTATGTGTTTGATATTGACTGAGAAGGTTTCTATATGAAGTACCAATCAAGTATTTCTTTAGTTCAGTGTGGAATAAAGTCATCTCAACTTTACTGTATTGAGGTATTCTTGCATAAGTAATCATTACGTGAATATTTTTTCAAGAAATTAAAATGTTTGAATTTTCCTAATTAAGACATATATTTTATTGCAACTCTTTGTCATATACCCCACAAATCTTGCAGTATATTTATAAAAGTCGTCTTTTTTAACACTGGCACACAAGATTAAAAAACCAGAAAAAATTTATAAATGTTCAAAACTACCATAACTCCTATTACATCTTTATGAAAACATAATCGCCATAACCTTCATTCAATGTTAACAGCAGCGAAGTCCTGTAAGTGTACTTACATCACCTGGAGCTTTTATCAGCCAGAGTTCCTTTCCCTGAACTACCTCTGTACTGAGCAATGTCTTAGTAGGAAGGCTGTTGTGGGTAAAGTTATCTGGTACTTTGTATCTGTATAACATAAAAAAGGCACAAGTTTAACATTAAAAAAAAAAAACTAACACCAAATGTTAAAAATAAATGAAATGATTTGCAAAAGTACTGATGTCTCCAAACACTCAGTTCTAGCATTACTTACTTAAGGACAGGTTCAATCACTGAATTGTCACTAGATTCACCGGCTTCCTCATCCGACACATTACTTTGATTGCCATTGTGATAGTTTGCTGCCAAAGATGTCTGTTTTGGGGGCGACTCGTCCATTCCTTTCTGTAGTGATGATTTGTCTAACAAATTCTGTGCGGAAATATCTTTTTTTTTCTCTGGTGAACTGTCAACCACATCACTCTTCTCTATTTTATCTTGTCCACTGAACAAACTTTCATCTAACGACACATCTATGCTGTCCTGATCATGATGTTTCCTTTTCTTATGTTTTTTATGAGATTTATGTTTTTTTCTTGGTGAACCTTTGTCAAGGGTATTGTCTAGTCCTGATAAAATACTGGGTGAGCCACCAGAAACTTCCTCTTCAGGTTCTGGAGTTGACACTTTCTCAACATTAGTAGCTCCATCATCACTATCACTCATTGAATGTCTTTTCTTTTTCCGATGTTTCTTTGGTGATTTCTGTTGCATTATGACTGTTTGGGTCTCAGGCTGATCATCCAAGGAAATGTCTTTGTGGATTTTACCATCGAGTTGGGAACTTCGAGGATTTATTCTTTCCGGTGTAATATCCACATCAATATGGAGATCTGAACTGTGAAAGGCAAATTTGTCAGTTCTGGTACTTGACAGTTTCCCAGACACTTTAGAGGCCAGTTTCAAGAGGTCTTGGGTTACTTTATTCTCACCGTCTGATACTTCATGCTGTATTTTTTCATCCAGATGTTTCTTGTGTCTTTTCTTATATTTTGTTTCACAAACTTGAGGACATCTGGGGTGCGAAGCGAGCTGAATCCTTTGAACTCTTCTGGATGGCTCATCAAGATTTTCTTTTCAATAAGAAAACTGAAAGAATTTGTTGAAGAGTTTGTTAATAATAAGTGAACACTTTAGAAATGGCTGGCAATAATCTGACGTTTGAACATAAATATTAGCATATACAAAGTTTTATAAATAAGAATTTATTCTTATATATACATGAATATATTTATATTAAGTCTTATATAAGAGTTGCTTGACCCAGCTAGATAGCAACTTGTTAAAATGTTATACTGAAAGTTACACTTGCTACCATCCGGACAATATCGCTGTAATCTATTCTTTACACCAATTTCAATGAATATACCAATATTTTGTATATCTTTCCATTCACATACAATATGTAACATTATTATGGGTGACTTCCAGTCTTCAATGTATACATATATGTAGACTTATATGTATCAAGAGTCTGTGCAGCTCTTCTAATTTTCACATGGGCTGTTGCCTAATCTTACTATAAATATTTGGGCCCTGTCTCCTACATGTCAATTCAACTGGATTTTCTTAAGATCTATGTACCCGACATATGACCTCGACTTCCATCTCTCAAGAGACAAATGTTTCTCATTATTTTAGATCTACATCCAACATATATGAATATGGAGAAAGCTAGACGAAATCGGGCTATCTATTTGCCTATGAGTGAATAAAACCTTGAATTTGTATAGTATAACGCATACATGCACCATGTTTTTATGGTGCAGGTGAGGAGTTATTCCACACATAAACCGATGACGAACTGTTGTCCTGCTCAAGACTGCTGGCGACAGTCGTTTTGAAGCAATTATAGACTACGTTAAGAAGATGGAATGGAGTTTTCTTAACTTTCCGCAAAAAGTAAGTCAAGTTAAACTATTAAAGGAATAATGATTAACTAAAACTTGACAATTACCCAAAATCAGACTTTTTAAAATACGGGAAACATCCACGTGCTCCTAGGTCTTCAAGCCCGTCAAATACAAGCGTTTCAGCGCTTTAGATATCGCTGTCTAAAAGTGGCACCGGTAACGGAAAGCACTAATTCAGGAACGACGATAATTTACAACAATTACTTATTTGCAACATTGCTATATTTTTGTTTTTATTTTTATTTTAGTATGTATAATTTTCTACACACTGTGTTAGACTCGTTGCCGTTATATATACTTTTTTTTTCCAAATGGCATGTATCGCTTACAGCACACAAAGTTACATTTGTGATCTTCATGTTGATCCAAGGTCAAATTCCCAAGCATTATTTCCTGGCAATTGATAAATATATGTTAGCATGTATATGTCATTCAATTCTTCTTGACTTGCTTCGAGGATATAAACACGTTATATATAAATTCCAATCCATGAACTAACACAGTTTGACTTGGTTATTAATTTCATATTTTATATAGTCCAATGGATGACAACAAAAACCAACAAAACGTTTCACAACACCCTGTATGCATTTTTCCAGAATTTCTTAAAATCACAACACCTTTCAAAGAAGAAAGTTATTTTTGAAGCACTATCCCCTCCCCCTCTCCCAATTGCCTTGACCCTCCTTACCATGCTTAGCAACTCAAAGTTTAAAAGTCAAAGGTCAAAAGTTAAACCTTAAACCTTGCCTCAACTTCATTAAATATAAATATGATAGTCCTTTCTTAAATCAGTATTTCAGACTACAGCTGGTTCAAATTCACGAAGTCCTTTGGAAATATAGATTAAAAAATAACACAACAGCATTGTTATTATTTATGTATTTTTATCTACCATTGCAAATATAGAGCTCACGTCGGCTGCTTTCATTCATAATACATTGCATATCTCACATTTACTGTCATCAAAACAACTAAAACCCTAAACAGCTATCTGTATCCATGTACAAAGCTTCACACAACACGAAGTTTAGATTCTAACAATGTAAAAGAAAGATCCTAGTAATAAATTGTATTTGTCTTTGATACATGTACAGATGTATCTGTCTTCGATACATGTACAGATGTATCTGTCTTTGATAACTGTCTTTGATAAATGTACAATGTATCTGTCTTTGATAAATGTACAATGTATCTGTCTTTGATACATGTACAGATGTATCTGTCTTTGATATATGTACAGATGTATCTGTCTTTGATAAATGTACAATGTATTTGTCTTTGATAAATGTACAATGTATCTGTCTTTGATAAATGTACAATGTATTTGTCTTTGATAAATGTACAATGTATCTGTCTTTGATAAATGTACAATGTATCTGTCTTTGATAAATGTACAATGTATCTGTCTTTGATAAATGTACAATGTATCTGTCTTTGATAAATGTACAATGTATCTGTCTTTGATAAATGTACAATGTATCTGTCTTTGATAAATGTACAATGTATCTGTCTTTGATAAATGTACAATGTATCTGTCTTTGATAAATGTACAATGTATTTGTCTTCGATACATGTACAGATGTATCTGTCTTTGATAAATGTACAATGTATCTGTCTTTGATAAATGTACAATGTATCTGTCTTTGATAAATGTACAATGTATTTGTCTTTGATACATGTACAGATGTATCTGTCTTTGATACATGTACAGATGTATCTGTCTTTGATAAATGTACAATGTATTTGTCTTTGATAAATGTACAATGTATTTGTCTTTGATACATGTACAATGTATCTGTCTTTGATAAATGTACAATGTATCTGTCTTTGATACATGTACAATGTATCTGTCTTTGATAAATGTACAATGTATCTGTCTTTGATACATGTACAATGTATCTGTCTTTGATACATGTAAAATTCATCTGTCTTTGATAAATGTACAATGTATCTGTCTTTGATACATGTACAGATGTATCTGCTATTTCTACATTCATTGTATGTCTGTGTATATGTCACTAGCAGCCCTCTTAGTTTATATGTTTTCCCTTCATTTAATAAATCCTATTAAAATAATCCATCTCTTTCACTCCCTCTTATTATCTCACACTTCAAATTCTTAAATTCATTTCAACCAATGAAAGAATTTTCTTACTTCTGAAATTCACATTACTTCACTTCCTGTTTATTGGAAGTTTTCTGAGCAGTACTTAGATATAATTCAACAGAAACAAAACGCATTTTATTCAACATTCCAATACAGTAATGACTAATACAACACAGTGTTGATACAAGTAAACCTAATTGTAGATGTACAAAAGAAAATGTTTTGAATTTGATCTTGTTTTAACCCAGTCTACATCTGTATCTGTAGCATTAAGTATATGATAAAATCATAAGTTTAAATCTTATGCTATGAATGATCTAGATTTATCCTGCAGCTTACCACATGACCTCTGACACAAAGTGAGTGAATGGACTTATTACAGGACAATAAGTCAAGGAAGCCAACACATAATCTCTGTCATCAAGTGAGAAGTTGACTTATTACAAGAAAATAAGCCAAGGAAGCCAGCATATAGCCTCTGACACTAAGTTTGGGGTAGGCTTATTACAGGACAATAAGCCAAATAGACTTACACAAAACCTCTGTCAAAAAGGATGAGGATGGGCTTATTGTACGACAATAAGCCAAGGAGGCCAGTACATAAGTCATGTCACAAAGTATGATGATGGGCTTATTACATGACAATAAGCAAAGGAAGACAGCATATAACCTCTGACACTAAGTTTGGATCAGCCTTATTACAGGACAATAAGCCAAATAGACTTACACAAAACCTGTGTCATAAAGTATGACGGAGGGCTTATTACAGGACAATAAGCCAAGGAGGCAAGTACATTTTGACTGACAAAAGGGAGGGGGTTCTTGTATTACAGGATAATAAAAATGCATTACTTAATAAATGTTCTTGATTATTAATTGAACAAGGTGGTCTTTTTGGCAGACAAGTGCTTATTGCCAGACATTGGCTTATTATAGTATAACTCTTGTACAACTCGCACAGGAATAATTTGTTGATTTTTTTTGCTTTTATTTCATTAACATCTGCTATAGGGTTTTATTAACTCTAATGTAAGTACACCTCTAAAAATCACAAGATACAATTCTACATACAATTGATAAATAAATAGAAATGGTAAAGAACAAGAAGATATGTAATAAAGGTAACAAACGTAGCCAAAATTAATTAATCTTGTACCAAAATACAAATGTCAGATTTGGATTTGTCAAGTGAACAACAATGCATTGCTATCAATCTACCATTGAGTTGATGTTTTAATTTCTTCAACATACATGTCATCAATTTGGGTAATTTTATTACATTGTGAAAGTATCAATTTTATTAATAAACTTGACACTGTTACAACTTCATGAATGTTTGCAAATGCTTAAAAAACCATCAGCAATTTCAAGTTAATGTTATTAAATCACAAAATGGTAAATTAAATAGTGTTATAATCTAATTTCCTTCAACAGTAGTTTTACTGAATTATAACAACTCTCTTCGCCTTAAAAATCACAGTGAACTACAACAATTTTCTGTCACAGGTCTTTGACACAAGCCAGCTCACATCCTATATTATTTCTTGTTTTCACAATATGTAATATTGTACAGAACCTTTTCCCTTTATCCTGACAGGTAAAAAATATGGTTACTATATCAAATATTTAGATATAAACAGAAATACTAATTTGCCATTTAGTGCAAATTGTTATAATTTTGCAATAAAAATAGAAATTCCTTACATAGATATACTGGGAATATTTCATAAATGCAAAAACTGATATTATAATACATATTTATAATCATATAACAAAGGAAAATTCCAGAGTAAAGAAAAATAGAACTAGACTTCAAAACGGCATGTTGTTTAATTTCCTCTTGTTTGTGTAGACAGAATTATCTATATCAGTAATGTTTTTGTTGTTGTCAAAGTTATTTAAATCATTATATTACCCCTGGTAGTTATGAAAATGGCATCCAGTTCAATTAAATTTCAATACACTAGCAATATCAGAAATATTCAAACATTAAGAGATCTTTTCTTTACTTTGGGAAGTCAACAGCCAACAGCATCCAGAAAGTGGAGGAGCCTTTATCAATGAGATGGATTAGTAAAAACTTCAATCAGCAATTAATTTCCAACTTCATTATCATCTTTGCAATATCTTTTCATTGACCTTCATCTGAACCATTACTTTTGGTAAACTTAAACATCAGGAAAAACAGACAAACAGAAGAGAAAAATGAAATTGTCCACTGCTGTCTAGTTGTCTTTCTTTGATCCATCTTCACTCAACTTTTTCTGAAGGAGAAACAAAATTGTATTTTAATAAAATGGAATGAGTACTGAAAACAGTAAAAACAAATCAGAGCACAATATACACTCATAAATCAACATGATTTTGGAACACCGTACATGTGGAGACATGCATCCAAGGTTACTTACCCCTCTTACATAAAGCGTTTATTTTATTCACCCAATATCAAAGTTTACCCATTACCAATCCATTCCCTGTCACCTTTTATTGTCTGATAAATTGTTTAATATATTATAGCTACACTAAAGTAAAATACATCAACATATGTTTGTGATATATTTAACAGAACAAGGATGACTCACAGGTATAATGGTAATAAATTGCACTCAATGTCAAAATGATAAGGAGTTACCTCCCTTTGATGCTTAGTCCAACCAATAATTATTGGTGATTTAATCTGACCATTATCCAATTCCAAGTGAAGTAGCAGTGTGTTGAGTAACAACAGAAAACTAAAAACTTGAAATAAGTCTTCAGGTTTGTAGTGTTATAACAGTGAAAATTTCCATTTCCCATATTTATGATCAATAAATCCTTTACATTAAATCGGAACCCTGTCTTATTGTGTTTGTGAATAAATCAGACTAGATCTATGCAAGTTATCATATGGAAACAGAAAATTAGACACACAATTCCCCAAGATCATACCTGGAGGTCAGAGTACTCCTTCAGTAGACGGTCATACTCCTTGTTTGTTCCCTCAGCCTGGCTGCGTAGTGCATCTAAATCTAGTTTGACTTTCTTGTAATCTGTAACAGAAATTTATAATGAATTTTTACAGTGATAATGAAACCAGTTTTCTCAACTAATATTAATCACTCTTATTATTCCAAATGAAAATGGAAAAGGAGAAAACTAGAATCCATTTACGAGTTCTCTCTCCATCCTGATCCAATTTGCTCTCCATTTTAACCTGATTCTCTTACCACCTTCAGTTGATTCTCTCTCTACCATCACCTGATTCTCTTACCACCTTCAGTTGAATCTCTCTCTACCATCACCTGATTCTCTTACCACCTTCAGCTGAATCTCTCTCTACCATCACCTGATTCTCTTACCACCTTCAGTTGAATCTCTCTCTACCATCACCTGATTCTCTTACCACCTTCAGTTGAATCTCTCTCTACCATCACCTGATTCTCTTGCCACCTTCATTCTCTCTCTCCCTTCACCATCACCTGATTCTCTTCTCTCTCATCACCTGATTCCTTCAGCTGATTCTCTCTCTCCCTTTCAGCTGATTCTCTCTCTACCATCACCTGATTCTCTTACCACCTTCAGTTGAATCTCTCTCTACCATCACCTGATTCTCTTACCACCTTCAGTTGAATCTCTCTCTACCATCACCTGATTCTCTTACCACCTTCAGTTGAATCTCTCTCTACCATCACCTGATTCTCTTGCCACCTTCAGCTGATTCTCTCTCTCCCTTTCAGCTGATTCTCTCTCTACCATCACCTGATTCTCTTACCACCTTCAGTTGATTCTCTCTCTACCATCACCTGATTCTCTTGCCACCTTCAGCTGATTCTCTCTCTCCCTTTCAGCTGATTCTCTCTCTACCATCACCTGATTCCCTTCCCTCCTTCAACTGATTCTCTCTCAACCCTCTGCTTAATCTCTCCCTTCTTCCCCTCTTTCCATAGAGAAATCTTTAGAATGGGGAGGAATAACACTATCCACATCTAGTATATGGTAATACATGTATCTGAAATCTAACCTTGTTTGACTTTGACTAGATCCTCCTTGGTCTTGTCTAACTGCTGGGCCAAACTTTTCTCCTCTGCTGTGTCATCCTCAGTTGCCTGTAAGCCAAGACATAATGGTATTGCTTACACAAAAAAATCTTTCCAGAGAAAAAAGGCTAATACATTGTATCCTATGTCAGTTTTATGTTGATTATGACACTCTTCAAAGAAAATTTGTAAATTTACAACAGTATAAGGCCAAATTAATTAAAAAATGTTATAAGGGCAGAAATAAATCAAATTTCTTCTGTGGATGCCTGAACAGGAACATCTGTGTAAAAAGTAAAGTTATAAACTGTTCTTACAAATTTGTCTACAGTGCCTTGGTAATTTTGGTGCATACTTAAAACTCTAGAAATCTGTGTTTATAGAGAGCTTGTTAGCTTACTTTATTGCGTTTATTGTCTTGGTCCTCCATGAGGCGTTTGGCCACCTCATTGGCTGATTTGGCCTGTTTCTGACTAGCTTCACATTCAGCACTCAACCTTGCCTGCTCTGCTGTGAGTGTCGTCAGACGGCGGATTATACTGCAGCATAGAAAATTTTAACATGCTTAAAATGCTTATTAGAGAAGAAAAGAAAATGTGTAACCATACAAAAGTGATTGCTTAACTCTTCACACACATATCATTAAAAGAGAAATTCATTAGAAATCGTGAAACATCTTCCTTGACACCAAGAAATCATTCCTTTGATTTGAAAAGGGATACATGTATATTTTCATTCAATCAACAGGAACTGTACATGTCTCCGGCACAAAATACTATGACAGGACATGTTATCTCATAGTCTTACATCAATATTAATAGAAAATTGTATCACATACACCTAAAGGCAGCAGAAATCATGAGAAATGTTTTAAAAATCTTCTTTTCCTTAAGATTTCTAAATTTCTATCATATTGCTAAAAGTCTATAAAGTTTATCATAGAATTGAAAAATAAAATCTTATCTACGTACAACCACAAAAACAGAGCAAATCCAGTTATGTAAAAGTTTCTCTGTGCTCGAAACAGTTTCATGTGCGCAAGGTTTTCAGAGTCAAGATTATGCTTGAGATCAACCTCTCCAACAGGCACCGAGTACTTGTTGACCTCTCTGATGGAATCTATAAATAGAAAAGTTCAGTTACTATAGAATTACAACATCAAAGGATGATGAGACAAACTGTTACAGATCTATAATTACCATAGATTTAATCTATAAATATAATAAAGTCACTATATAATGACACTGTGACATCAACAGATCTACTGAAATCTGACCCAGAGAAATCATACTGTTGCTGGTTTCACTGGAATAAATATTAAATTCATTTTAAAATTTCATATTTTGTAAGAAGTTAATGTCTGGTAATATGCCCACTTTTATCTGATTGTATCAGGTTCAACCCTTATGTGCCCTGCCCATCCCCTTGTGACTAGGCTTGTATGATACATATGATTACAACTACACAGTGCAATTTACACAATAGCTTCAATGAAAAAAAAAAATATGTAATTATCATTACAAGTTTACCTATAAAACAAGTATATATTTGGTAGTTCATGATGTACATGTAAACACTTATATATTTGTTCAAGCTTATTATCTGACTTCTGGCATTCAGTTATTTTCAAAATATTGTTTAAATCTTCAATTCAATTTTTTTCAGAAAACTACCAAATGAAATATTTTGCATTATCAGACCTTGGCATGATGTTTTAAGTACTATGGCTCTGAATTATACAGGTTTCACTGTGGATCATTACAGACCTATAAACAGCAACAGAAGAATGGCGATGAACACATTGAAGTAGATATAGGAGTAATTAGACAAGGTGTTGACGATGTTGGAGCGAAAAATCTTCTGCCATCTGAAATAAGATGTACATTTATGAATGAAATATTCTATAGGGAAACAAACTACTAATATGGAATAAGGAAGCTACAGATCATGGACTACACAAAACATATATGGTGCATTCAAAATGTTAAAAATATTTACACTGTTCATGGCTAGGTAGACAATGGCACAGAATACATCCTAGTACATTACCTAACACTGGCAATTACTTAAAATTATAGTTTACATGAGCCTTGAAAATATGCTATGACAGTTTTAACAAATAGAATAACATCCTTTTATTTTGAGTTTATCATACTGTAATCTACTTTCCCCACCCTTATATAAAATATGTACCTAGTTCAAGTTTCTGTTTACCTAATCACTGAACAGAGCCTACTGTAAGCTAGACCTGCCTAATCAGATAGTATGTAGGAAATAATATAAAAGCTACATATAAGATGAAAAAGGATGTTGATATATGCAGATACTATTACATATATTGTGTGTATGGAAGCCACGATAGGAAATGGTATCAAGAGGTCAGAGTGAACAGGTAAAATTACATCATCATTCGTTGTGATGTCTAGATAACCTGGGGTCACACTGGACAGGTATATAGTATTACATCATCATTCGTTGTGATGTCTAGATAACCTGGGGTCACACTGGACAGGTATATAGTATCACATCATCATTAGTTGTGATGTCTAGATAACCCAGGGGTCAGACTGGACAGGTTAATGGTATTACATCATCATTAGTTGTGATGTCTAGATAACCAGGGGTCACACTGGACAGGTAAATGGTATCACATCATCATTAGTTGAGATGTCTAAATAACCAGGGGTCAGACTGGACAGGTAAATGGTATCACATCATCATTAGATGAGATGCCTAAATAACCAGGAGTCAGACTGGACAGGTAAATGGTATCACATCATCATTAGATGAGATGCCTAAATAACCAGGGGTCAGACTGGACAGGTAAATGGTATCACATCATCATTAGATGAGATGCCTAAATAACCAGGAGTCAGACTGGACAGGTAAATGGTATCACATCATCATTAGATGAGATGCCTAAATAACCAGGAGTCAGACTGGACAGGTAAATGGTATCACATCATCATTAGATGAGATGCCTAAATAACCAGGGGTCAGACTTGACAGGTAAATGGTATCACATCATCATTAGATGAGATGCCTAAATAACCAGGGGTCAGACTGGACAGGTAAATGGTATCACATCATCATTAGATGAGATGCCTAAATAACCAGGGGTCATGACAGGTAAATGGTATCACATCATCATTAGATGAGATGCCTAAATAACCAGGGGTCAGACTGGACAGGTAAATGGTATCACATCATCATTAGATGAGATGCCTAAATAACCAGGAGTCAGACTGGACAGGTAAATGGTATCACATCATCATTAGATGAGATGCCTAAATAACCAGGGGTCAGACTGGACAGGTAAATGGTATCACATCATCATTAGATGAGATGCCTAAATAACCAGGAGTCAGACTGGACAGGTAAATGGTATCACATCATCATTAGATGAGATGCCTAAATAACCAGGAGTCAGACTGGACAGGTAAATGGTATCACATCATCATTAGATGAGATGCCTAAATAACCAGGGTCAGACTTGACAGGTAAATGGTATCACATCATCATTAGATGAGATGCCTAAATAACCAGGGGTCAGACTTGACAGGTAAATGGTATCACATCATCATTAGATGAGATGCCTAAATAACCAGGGGTCAGACTTGACAGGTAAATGGTATCACATCATCATTAGATGAGATGCCTAAATAACCAGGAGTCAGACTGGACAGGTAAATGGTATCACATCATCATTAGATGAGATGCCTAAATAACCAGGGGTCAGACTTGACAGTCTAATGGTATTGTATGTACATATTATTAGAGAAACCAGGAAAGCGGAGTTCGTTCATATCGTCACTTGGGCTCAGCCAAGTTTCGGTAAACGATATGATGTCGTTGTTGTATAATTCACTAAAAAGGATATCAACCTTATGTTTTAAACTTTGGGCGTTAAGATGAACAAAAGAAAACTTCTTATGATTGAGTTCATTACTACTTTCATATGTACACGACGATTCAGAAGACAAGTCGTGATAAGACCCAGGTCCTGGATTAGTTTCAATGTCACCAGAAAGTAGTAAAGATAATTCAGTAAAGACTAAGATACATAACATCACAAGAGAGAAAATACCAACACTTTGCAGTTCGATTGGAACGCGACTTTTTACCAACATAACACGATTATATATATCGTGGGCATTAACATAAATTGTAACAAATGCAGTTAAGAATAATATGTCAAGAGCAGGAGAATCATTTAAGTTGAGATACCCTTTGGCACGGGATGTGAGAGAATGGTAAAATAGACCAATCCGAGCACGGTAGAGACCAAGACAATCAGGCATTTATGTCGCACCTATTGGTAGGTGCTGGAATTGTTTACGTGCTCGGATGGGACATACAAATACATAGTTTACCACTAAATGACGTTTAGATTTCCTTATCATAATACAGAACAGGTTTGAAGGAAAAACCATTGAAGAATTAGAGACAAAGATAAAAGAACAGACACATAGGATAGCTGAGGAGAAAGGATAGCTGTTCATATAGAGTTTAAATCAAGAGGTGATGACAGAGGTCAGCAGAATAATATTTTAAGTTAAATTACATCATTTGAAACACTAATGATATATATAGGCATTACAAAGGACACAGCTTTGGTAAATACTAATAATAGTGAAGATTCTAAAAATACACATATTAGATGAACCCTGATCTTGAATAGTAATTTTGATATTGATAAGTAACCTTTTCACCAGCTTACCAGTCATCATCATAAGCTGATCATCATACTTTTAACTTATTTCATGAAAGAAATACTGACCGTGCAGGTGATACAAATGGTAGCAGAAGAAGGATGACTATAAAGATCTCGAAGTAAAGGAAAGTAGCGATGAATGTCCACTGTAATGCCATCTTCAGACTTTTACTGAAAAATAAAGCATCAAACCTCTATCTTATTTATGATGGTTTGAAGTCAAAATTAAATAAGCAATAGAGAAACATTCGATGGAGGATATGTAAATAGTAATATTTTTCCTTTAACTTTCACTTCAATTAAGCAAGAAAATTATTACAATTTTAATTGATAGAAATATTCAGGACCAGAAACCTTCCATAAGTTCTAATATGTGTAAATCTACCATATAAGTTTACATCAGTGTGCTAAACTTTTAGAAGGTTTGGTACTCAAAATGTTATAGCCATAGTGCAAATGATGCTATCATATTGGGCATTGATTTGGAGACTTGGCATCGTAATTATATATACTCATAAACAGGATCTTCCTATAGAACCCTTTCAACTTTGTCATTGCTATTCCTAACACTAGACAGTAAATTTCAATCTATATGACTCAATGGGTTTCAATATCTACAGGTACATTTAACAGTACAGATGTACTAATCCATCCATGTGACCATGTTTCCTTGTGGCAAGCGAAATAATGAATAACGAAATTTGTGAATTTTTAGAAATGCCTATATCCCTCGGTGTCATATTACCTACCTACTTATCCGTTATCAATGTACAACGAATTGGCCCTCTTCCTAATACATTATCTGTATGAATGAAATTGCATGAACTGGCACTGCATTACACAAGTAATGTAATACAAATACTTATATACATTACAACAGTTAAGTACACATGCCCACTAAAGTAAATACGTGTACCCATTCTATCGTCGACACGAGTTGTCATTTCTATCTATAGTAATTAGCTATTTGGTCAGATAGCTAACACCGACAACCCGAATAACCAGTCCGTGAACTGTTGAACATACCCACGTATTTCACTACACGATTTTTAGTGGCATCATGCCAGATTTCATAAAAAAAAAATCGACCTACATTTTATCATAAGAACATAAATTTGTATGCAATGACACATCTAACGATGCAATCGAACCGTAAATGGTTATTCACTTACTGTCACGTCAGTTGTCAGGCCTAAAACAGGAAATCGACGTATCAAGCGTACATTGGACCATGATCATGTTCCCGATGAAATCTCGCTGACTTATGAGATTGGAACGTTGCTAGGTACTATAAAAACAACATGGTGGACGGATAGAGTATTTGTGTACCTTAACAAGATGTCACACAGGTAAGTTTGTTAAGTGTTGTCACATGCTTTCTAATAATCAAAGGTTGTTTTGAAATTGGTGTTTCAACGCATGACATCATGAAGATGGTTTACGTTCAACAGTCTGGGCTTCAAAGTGTTTCTTTTATTCATTGTCATAAACCAATGCTCAGTACTGTACAGTACCGTTCTCAATTTTAACGAAAAAGATGTCCTAGATGATATCCATTTATTTCATAAATACGTGCTATTCGTGTGTTTAGATAATAAATTCATGCATGATAATTTTTGCTATGCATGTATTTCTGAAGTTAAAAAAACGTTAGCAAAATGCAAGGCTACACATGTAATTTGTCACAGGCTGCATCTATATTAGGTCAGGATAGAATTTGTTCTTCACAAGACATTGCTTCCATAAATATGTGCTTATCATTTATTTTAACAACCAGGACAAGTCATCCCGCCAATTTTTATGTCATTGACTGGTTATTTGTGAACACTTTGTGAAGTATTCTCAACAAGGCTTACACAATGAATGAAGAGAAAGTTTATGAACAATGTATACATTTGGATTTATTTTTGAAGGTTGACTTTCCTTTCATTTGGCACTTCTCTCATGCAGGTCTTGTAGTGTCAACATTTTTTTTACATAATATTTAGCACTGGCAGTACAATAATACAACTTTGCTGTCTTCTTTAAAACTAAACATATAAGATCAATTTACAGATAATTTAATTGAATCATAACTCAGAAATTTCCTTGTGTTTTAGCACATACAACAAGCAATGGGCAGAGGCCGAGTCAGCCCTGGTGGACCTTCTCCAGCAGGAGCTACCACCAGAGCCCCCCAAACCAGAAAAGGTAAACAAAATAATGGTGATGCAGCTAGATGCTACAGATATGATATCCAGGGAACATACACATAATCATGTTCATTTCTCTGTCGTGTGATTATTCATGATTTTAATAATAATTATTGTCAGGCATGACAGCAGTGATCAGCATTCTCGGCAATTTATTCACAAATAAAAAATTAAAGGATGGTGTTCTGCTCTTGAGTAAAATGTTGCAAATTACTTTGAGTTACAAATGTACTAATGAAATGCCTCATATTTCTTAGACATTAATTGAGATTGTATATTGAAAGGTTATTTTTAGTCAGATTCTTTTTACTGCATCTATATTAGGTAAGGGAAATTGAGCTTCTGTCTGATACCATTTTATTACAAAGCTGTATATAGTTGTTAAGTTTGTTAACAATTTCTTCACATTTTTCCCAACAGGACAGATTAGCTGCCTTTCAGCTGCTGGCTACCATGTACATCAAATACATTCAGATCTTCCGTAAACTTGAACAATCTTATGATCAGGTGGTACATCCACAGAAGCGCAGAGTCCTTCGTCATGTACTTGATGGAGCAATGGGCAGAATTCTAGAGCTTAAACATGAGATGGTGACTCTGGAGTTTTCAGAGTATCATTACTTTGATGATGTTCTGTCAGATTTAAAACTTACTCCGGTATGTACACATTAAGTGATCTTTAGTCTTTAGTTTGTAAATTAATTTATAATAATCACTGATATCAGCATAAATTTTGGATTTCAGGGACATATTTTCATATGTAAGTTATTGAAATTTAAATATTATTATATTTCTGTGACAGTCAGCTTTTTCCTCCTCAAATTCAACTAAAAAAATGACAAATGAAAACAAATCATTGATTTATCATATAAGCAAACAATATGCTCACAATAAATCTATGTTGTTCTTTTGTTGTTTCCAGAATGATGTTGAAATCCCTATACCTAAGTACTTCATCAATGAAAAAATGGAAATATTGAAAGAAAGAGAAAAATTGCTTGGACAAATTTTGACAAAGGTTGGACCACAAGACAAGGAAGATGTAAGTCTTTTTATTTTCATTGTCACAGTCATGTAAAATTCTTTCATGATGACTGAATGAAGAACAGTCTAGTGACGATTTTGCTCAGATCAGATACAATGTAATGATCCTTTGACTGTGATATACATTACACAAAGTCAAATGAAAATATTTTTGATGTCACATAGCATTTTCATTTTTGGACTTTTGCATGGTTGCTTGTTATTTGGCATACCCATATATGTCTATATGTTAAAGTAAAGAAATACACACTTACAGCACAAAGAGGAAGTTAAGATGTCCCTGGAGGATGCTATCAGAATAATTCAGATTCATGAGCGTGCAAGACAGGGACGTCTAAGGGCAAAGTTCATGAAGGAAATCCGCGAGCAAGAGGAGCGTGAAATCATGGCTCAGACACGTGGTGCCCCAACACTAGATCCAGATGTTGCTGCAGTTAGAATACAGAAGGTACATTGTCTTTTTTCTGTATATGTTCAAATTTTAGAGTGACATCCTGGGTGACTTAGACCCTTCGTTTTCAAAGAACAAAGTTGCTTGAGTAAATTATTATCGACTGGTAGATTTGATTGTATACAGACTGAATTTGAACAGAATTTTCTTACATATTTCAACTTTTGGTAACATTCCATTTCAAGACATTAGTTGGACACTTTCTTGATTGTTTTGTTTTGCATTTCCTTTAAAGGTGTGGAAAGGTTTTGCACAAAGAAGGAGAACAAAAAAGGATAGAGATGAAGAAATGGTGTTTATTGGAATGGTAAGTGTTGATATGTGATAAAATCCTTGACTAAAGATGAGGGATAAACAGTTTAAATTTTCTTAACTTTCCTGAAATTTATTTCATATTTACCTGATATTGTACACTGGTAGACATTTGTTCAATGTTGAAAGAACATATTGGTAAAGTTTTGATATTTGATTTTCAGAAATGAATATTTCTAGACAATTTAGATTTTGATTTTAATTCTGTAACTTTTTTAACGGGCCAAGTTATAATAATTCTGTGAATCATTTTCAATATCATATAAATTCTATTTTAGGGAAAAATTCTGAAATATATTTAATAAAATAGAAACACTTTTGCTTGCTAACTAGTCTGTGTGGAAAAAAATCCATTTTTTATAGTGTTTCTAACAACAAACAAGTTAGAGCTAGAAATCTATAATGTTTGTTCAGTGCAGTAAGCCATCAGCTTCTGCAAGGAGACTCCACCTCCAGATGACCTTGGCTGTTTAGGGAGTAGTAAACTTAGCAAACAAACAAATAAGTCAATATGACACTGCTTGCCACAGGCACCACCCCCGATGCCAACAAGTCTAAAGAACACACCACAAGCTCTTGCTCTGAAGACTGAGGCCCAGCGTAGACAAACCCAGGGTACATATGAACACGAGTTCCAGCAATCCCTGGTCACTATTAAGGAGAAGATCCAAGAAACTGAGGGGCCCGATATCAAGGAGACCATGATGGACCAGATTCGACAGTGGTTTATTGAGTGCAGGTATGCTGAGTTCAGAGTATACTGGTATGATGGGGTCAGGTTCAAGTAAATTCTTAAATAAGATTTCACAATGAGCTCGTTCTTAGTAATAATTAATTAACCTCATTTTTAAAGTTGTAAATCAAAGTTTTGATAGTAAAATATAAAATTCTAGCTAAAACTTCCTTATGATTGTCTCTAAAGTTCTGATAGTTGTCTATATAATATTCCAGAGATTCTACTGGAAAATTCCCCGAATACCCAGATGAGGATGATGGTGGTTCAGCAGCCATATTCAAACAGAAAACTCCAGAGGAGTTGGAGGCAGAGATGAGAGAGAAGGTTAGTGTGCAGGGTTTATAGTCACTCATGGTCTGATAAGTTAAATGTATCATTTTCAGATATATACAATCATAAAGGAATAACTTCCTGAACCCAAGCATAAAAAAAATTGTGAATCTTAAAATGATTTTTCCAAACAAATGTTAATTTTATCATTTTAATTGTAAACTCTGTCACTAATGTTGCTTTAAATGATGATCTTGGGTTTTACCCAGTCAAATGATAGAAACATTTGCATCTTTTAAGTTGGACCTGACTGAATTTCTGTAGTGTCACATAATGTTGTAGATGTATATTTCATTTTAAGAAATAAATAGTGAAGCTAGAGAAAAAAACAAGCTATTACTTGTACAGCCTGATTTATCTCAGTGGAGGGTGATATTATATAACATATTACCATGTCAAAGAGGAGAAAGAATTATTAAAAAATGCTGAAGAGCTCAAAAGAATGTTTGAGAAAATGTCTTATTTGTTTGTTTTTTATTCTCTCAGGAGGAAGGTGGTGGCAAGAAAAAGGATAAGAAAGGAAAGAAGAAAGACAAGAAAGATAAAAAAGACAAAAAAGACAAGAAAGGAAAAAAAGGAAAGAAGGGAAAAGGAGGAGATGATGAAGTTTGTTAATATTTACATAATATACATAATATGTATATGTATTTTAAAACACCAAACAGTTTAGTATACCATGGTAGTTTAGTATTCTTTTTTAAAAAAATTCAACAATATTACATTGTAAAACACGAAATGTCATTAAAAATTTGATACTGAAAAAAAGGATGGGTGGGGATGTTCTTCATATCCTTACAAAAAACAAAAATAAAACTGAATACACACTACTGAAATATTACAGGCTTCAAACAGTAGGTCAAAACACAACTTTAAGGAATACATACAGCGGTAAATAGTAAAATAAATTCTTTAATATGCTGTAATGTACAGAGATCAAATTACTCTCACATTAACGGGTACATTTTGAGTAAGTAATTATCACACAGTACCACAGATGGAGTGTTAATGTTCTCTGCTTAATTTAATTATTGTATAATTTAACCATCATTGCTCGTCCAGTGGAATGTAGTTTTAGTAACATTTTTTGTATTATAAACCTGTGTGTTTGTACACAGGAGGAAGAGGAAGGCTGGAAGATGGCTCCCTCTAGTTTTGTTCCTGCCATCAATGAAGGCACTGATGATTACAAAGGTAAATAACACTAGATAATACAGACAAGAAGTCTAAAAAGTTCAATCATCAGTTGACTCTATAGTTGTATGTGTTTAGACTCTAATGTCAAACCTGATATAGATTGTATAGGTCTACCTCTCATTGTATATGTGTTTCATCATAATGAAAGTCTGTAGTGTTTCTTTAAAGACTTTATAATGTATATCCAGAATTTTACTCAGAAGTGTAAAATAACTCTGATACATTCAGTCAATAAGATTTTATAAGTGTGAAATATGCATTGAGTATTATCTTTAATATGACAGGTATTTGACTCTGTTACAATTTAGTTACCTGGTAGTACACTACATCGTTGATAATCATACATTAGATAAAAAAGTAATTCCAATACTGTGAGAAATAAATTCATTAAAATCATGATTTTCATTAAGGAAAATACCAATCACATTTTAACCAAAGAATGTAAACAATTTTAAGTTTGAGAAATGTGGTGGCCTTGTTAGTGATGTCACAAAAAGCAGATGCCTTATGAAACTCTGTGAAAAACTGGACTTTCTCCAATCTGGAACTTCTTCATAACTGATAGAAAATTTTGGATTTGACAAACAAGAGTCATTAGCTTCGGTATAATAGAGAACTCTTGTATTAAGTAATCCAATCATAGAGCCCCCAATGTTCTGTGGTTTAAAGTCTTCTTATCTAAATTTCTGGTCTCTCAACTAGGCGTCTGGCAGACAAGGGATGAGAAAGACAACTTTTCACAGAAACATGACTCCGAGCTTATCAAAGAAGAAAAACGTAAAGAAGTGGAGGAGGAAATCCGTCTCCAGGTTGATGAGTTAATGAGGACAGAGCTGAAAAACCTGAAAGCAGTAAGTTATAATAATATTTTACTTTTTCTTGCATCTTTTGTCTCATTGTGATAAGTATGCACTATGTATGGTTTAAGTATATTACCTTGTCGCAGTGTCTCCTCTAGTCCTAAGCTATAGAATTTTAGATTTCATACAGATGTTGGCTCCAACTCTTACACATCTTTTGTGGTGACTTTAAAGAGCTATTCAGGGTCACTGTTCATTTCAGTCAGCAGTGGACCCTATGTGTCCTGGAAGTTAAGAGTCCCACGCTGAAGCGACATAACCATGCAGACATCTGTCATTGATAGTAGTTATATTTTGGTTACAGTAGTGGCTCAATAAACTCCAAGATTTAGGTACACAATTAATCAGGAAAGTACTTGTGTAAATTTGTGGAGCTCAAAATTTCACCATTGTGTATATATTGTCCCCAGGTTTTATAAGATTAATTACTATTTACAAAATGCACTTTAGAGTAATTCTAATGACACAGGAAATTCTAAATGATTACAATGCTTATAGGCTGTAGACAGAGATAAGGGAAAGAAGAAAGGCAAAAAATCGGGCAAGAAAAAGAAGAAGAAGGGGAAGAAGAGTGGAAAGAAAGGAAAGAAGAAGAAGAAGGAGAAGGATTTAACTCCAGATAGGTAAGGAGTTAACTCAAGATAGGTAAGGATTTAACTCAAGATAGGTAAGGAGTTAACTCAAGATAGGTAAGGAGTTAACTCAAGATAGGTAAGGATTTAACTCAAGATAGGTAAGGATTTAACTCCAGATAGGTAAGGATTTAACTCAAGATAGGTAAGGAGTTAACTCCAGATAGGTAAGGATTTAACTCCAGATAGGTAAGGATTTAACTCCAGATAGGTAAGGATCTAACTCCAGATAGGTAAGGATTTAACTCAAGATAGGTAAGGATTTAACTCCAGATAGGTAAGGATTTAACTCAAGATAGGTAAGGATTTAACTCAAGATAGGTAAGGATTTAACTCAAGATAGGTAAGGAGTTAACTCAAGATAGGTAAGGAGTTAACTCCAGATAGGTAAGGATTTAACTCCAGATAGGTAAGGATTTAACTCCAGATAGGTAAGGATTAACTCAAGATAGGTAAGGATTTAACTCCAGATAGGTAAGGATTTAACTCAAGATAAGTAAGGAGTTAACTCCAGATAGGTAAGGATTTAACTCCAGATAGGTAAGGAGTTAACTGCAGATAGGTAAGGAGTTAACTGCAGATAGGTAAGGATTTAACTCCAGATAGGTAAGGATTTAACTCCAGATAGGTAAGGATCTAACTCCAGATAGGTAAGGATTTAACTCCAGATAGGTATTTAAGTTTGTGATGAAATTTGTCTTCAGAAATGAAAATGTTAGCTAATATCTGTATCGTTAAGACAAGAACTACTTTCTGGTTTGAGGGCATGTTCTTAATCACAAATTCTCCCATACTTCACAGTTGCATTATATTCATTTGTCTGTTAGGAAAGAGAAAATTTTTTTCACAATAAGGAGGCTTCATTCTATGTAACATAGCTGTGTCACAATTTTATTCCTGGGCCATGAATGATGACACAATTTATGGAATTTGTGACAAAACTTCTGTTTTATGGTGGAAAAGTGCGAGAGAGACAGAATTATCTCAACCCTTGGAATAAGGTTTTTAAAGGTTAGCACTTGGCTAGCACAGATGTATCTTTCTACAAAACACAGGTGAAATATTTTACTATTCCAGCAGACTCAGAAGGCCATAGTCTTTCTTTGGTAAATCATTTAACTGTCCAGTAAGTTTTTTTTTCGAATTGAAAGAAGGAAGCAGAAGATTAAATGTACATCATACCTGTTACAGAACCATAGAGTCACTGTATGAAGAAATGGTGATGAATGGCATTATTGTGCGGACGCCCAACATCAAGCTGATGGACTATGAGGGGGAGTACAGTTACCTGGGTACCACACTGAGACAGGCTAATATAGAACCCATGCCTTCTCTCAGTGATGTCAGACGACTAGTTACAGAGTTCGGCATCCTTCCTCTTGGTAAATGTCAAGCAAATGGTTTATTATTTACATTAACTGGGTTTTTTTTTATAATTTTAATCATGTTATTTTCAAGGGTGTTTATAAATAGATTTAAGATAAAAATAGCTTAATGTTATATATAAACATTTGGATGACTAAAATTTGGGAATTTTTTTTTATGAAAAAGTGTTTGATAACAAAATCTTTCAACTGAGTTAGCTCTTGATAGTTTGTAGTTAAGCTGAAGAGGAATACTGATTCATAAAAAATATTTAAAAAATGAAATGTCAATGAATAGATGACTAATTCTCAGATACATTTGTTGTATTAATTGTTACAGGTTCACCGGCTGTACACGAGAAAGCCCCTCTAACTAAATCCATACTCTTAGCCGGTCCCAGAGGAACTGGTAAAAAAATGCTTGTTCAAGCCATTTGTAATGAGACTGGAGCCAACATGTTCGATTTATCACCAGCAAATATAGTGGGAAAATATCCTGGGAAGGATGGACTCAAAATGTTGATGCATTTAGTGTTTAAGGTAGGATTTTACAAGGGAAAAGTGACGCCTTTCACACAGCTCAGTTTAACTTTGATTGAAACCTCAATAGCAAAAATATGTCACGTTTTTTTTGTTTTTCACCTTGACGGATCAGAAAACATGCCTGAAGTTTCAACTTCCTGCTGGGAATATTTTTTTTTTTTTTAAAAATGTGTCACATGTTTTTGATTTTTCACCTTGACTGATCAGGAAACAGCTTAAAGTTTCAACTTCCTGTTGGGAACAGTGTTTTTCTACTTGTTTGGATGTAATATAATATCCTATATCCCAAGTCAACAATATTGTGTACACATGTTTCCACTATGACAACTGTGTGATATCATTACAGCAATGTTTCTTTTTAAAAGGGCTTTTATGACTTGTTTTCCTGTAGTTTTTAGTATTTTATTAAAATTTATTATCATTGATACCTTGAAATATATGTACCTTTTATAAAATGTATAAGTGGTTTTGTTTGTAGGTTGGACGAGAACTTCAACCAAGTGTTATATATATTGGAGATTGTGAAAGGATGTTTAAAAAGAAAGTGCCCAAAACAGATCCAGTAAGTTTTGTCATTCTTTTTTGATATAACATTAAATTTGTATTTTCTGTAACTAAGAATAATTTCGACCATACCTTACTGGAATGTAGAGTTCAGAGTTTACTGAAGTCTAATTGTCACTCACTATATTTCATTTTTGATAATGTTTTTTCAGACAGACCCTAAAAGGTTAAAGAAGGAGCTTCCGAAAGCCCTGAAGACAATAAAAAGTGATGACCGCCTGCTACTAGTTGGAACATCTCGCTGTCCATTTGATGGAGAGATGAAACCTTTGACTAGCTGTTACCAGCGGATAATTCTCATCCCTCGTCCAGACTATGCCTCACGACACTGTAAGTTTAAACATGTCTATTACAAATACTTGAGTCAGAAGATGGTATGAAGTTGGTAAGGTATAAGTTTTAGTGTACATTTATTATTCAGCACTGACAGTGCTCTCCTTGACAGTTACCTTCATAAAACACAAGTAATAGATAATTATTTCTTCAAAAACTGTCACATTTTTTGCACTTTGGAATGTTTGGGTCTGACGTATTTCACCTTTCATTCACCAGATCAGAAATTGTGCTCTAGATCAGAAATTGCCATGATATTCCACCTTTTTAATTTCCAGTGTTATGGCGTCGGATCATTTTGAAAAACAATGGTGTATTGACTGCACACCTTGACATCAGTTCATTGTCCAAGGTCACCGATGGGTACACACCTGGTCACATGGCTACAGCTGTTCAACAGGTCCTCACAGAGCGACGCATACAGACACTTTCAAAGAAACCACTTCAGGCTGTTGAGTTCATAGCGCCACTCGCTAGGATTGACCCAATTTATAAGGAGGAAGAGGAGTCTTTTAAGGTAAACTATAATTAGGACACTGTATTGATGATGCTGGTGCCTTATAGTGGATTGTTTGGGTTTTTCTTTTTTTTTTAATTTATTTCAACACTACATCTCAAGTTCTGTAAGGCAAATAGCACTAAAACATTATTTAAATCTTCTTGGAAAGAAATGCCTACAAGGGAGTGTAGATAGGAAATCGGTTTTTGCAAAATATCTTAAGTTCTGTTCAGATGGTTGCACTCAGATTTTCTTCTTTGCTTTGTCACAGGAAGTGCTAGTCAAGGTCAAGGTCAAATTTTGAATATTTCAGTGGGAAATATTTTGATATGGCATTATGAAACTGAAGTGATCAGAATCAAAAGAGAAGTTTCCTGATCGAAGGCCAAGGTCATTTGATCAAAGTCAAGCTCCTTCTCTTTAATCGTTTAATTGCTAAACCTTTTGTTATTACATTATGAAAAAAAAGTTGGTCAGTCAAACCAGAAATCACTGACCGAAGCTAAGGGTCATTTGGTCAAAGGTCAAGGTCTAATTGTTTATTTCTTACCTGGTAAATACTTTATTATATTATGAAGCAAAATTGAATATGATCAATGTTTTAACACAAGGTCATTGGATCCATGTTCAAGGTCAAATTTTACATTTCTTAACTCACTATTTTGTTATGACATCATGGAGCAATACTGGTCTTTGGGTCAAGTCATCATCAGCCATTGACAAAAGCTCAGATTTTGATTTTGGAGGTTATCATTCAAGACTGATTGTATGTTATGCTTGACCACTTTAAGATTTGAAACATTGAAGATATCTCATAAACATCTCAACAGTTTTAATTCACTTTCACAACATATCATCACATGAACTAGTTCTAAAACTGATTTTGGTGGTCATTGGTCAAGATTAAATGTCAAAAGTCACATTTATATACATGAAGCTCTCAAAAGACTTCATTAAATATTTCTGTGTAAGGTCATTCTCCCTTTTTTTATGTATACTTATATAGTATCATAGACTTTGTACAAAATGATTTAATTTTCTTATACAGTCATGGTATGCTAAGACTCCTCTTGGTAAGAAGCGTGCTAAGGCTGCAGCAGCTGATGAGGATGATGGAGGAGGTGGTAAGGGAGGAAAAAAGGGCAAAAAAGGAGGCAAAAAGAAGGGAGGAAAGAAGAAGAAAAAGAAGTAGACATAATTTTGGATGATCCATTTCCAAACTGTGATAACAAGACTTTTTTTGTTGGAGTCAAAATGTTTTCTAAAAACCATACTTGGAAAAAGATGTTGTTTTTCATAATATTCTTTACACCAAAAGTTTCTTACTGCAATCAATAACTGTGATGGTCTAGAAGATTTTGATGACAAGACGATACAAGTATACTTAAATGGTGACAATGTGATATTAAAATCCTACATTTTACATATCCATGATTTATCATCAAATTATGACTTGAAATTTTTTTAATATTGATTTATTACATATGAGGATATTGAGTGAGGCTATTTTGATATATATTCTACCTTCAGATAAAACCAGAAATTACATATCATCATGGTTTCTTTTTAATATTTTACTAGAAAACATGGTTATAATTCCTTAGATATGTAATACTGTTTGATGTATTCTATTCTCTATTTGATCAAGTCATAAATTAACGAGATAATTTCCTCGTTATGTAATAAATATGATGCTGTAATGTTTTATTTTTCTCTTTGTCTTCATTGCTGACACCCTAGCCATATTGTTGATTTAGCATTTAACAACACACAACAACAAAAACTTTTTAATTTCTCAAAATTTATTTGGTTGTTGCATCAATATCTTGCAACTCACTATCATGCTTGAAATGGTTATCAAGATTTAACATAATATTGTTGAGTTCTGAAAACAATTCAAATGCCATTTTGAAAAAATAAAATGAAGTGTTTGTTCTCTGCATGATCAGAGAAAGTTACATTATATACAACATACATGTTAAGTTCTGTTTATTTATTTAAGGATACAAACTGTGAAATATTTTATGTCAGTTCAACAACATGCTGAACTTACATTTCAAAAAGTTATAACTATACCCAGGTTTTCCAACAATAGAATAAAACACACTATGTCTAGCACCAGTCAAAGATCAACATAGGTTTCCAGAAAAAAAACCCAGAAATTCACAATGAATGGAATTCCTAAAACTAGACATAGGATAAACCATGATATATAAAACCTCACATAGAGTAAATATATGATTTATATATAAAAAAAACTCCTTTTTTTCAATATTAAAGAGACAAGAGACTAATGGGCTTTAACATCTGACATTTATAAAGACCTCTTCACAACAGTAGTGGTAGTGAGAACAATTAAACAAATGTCATTAAAACAATTTTAAATCATAGCAGTGAATGTTAATTTGTTTGCTAGCAAAATCCCTTATGTTTTGTGAGAAAAAGGCGAAAAAATTTAACAACACTTTCTTGATTGGAGTTTCTGAACATTCCATAAAGTTTCAGCTCAAAGGCATCCATCAAACAGGTAAAGTAGTTTAAAATGGGCTTTTCAATATGCTATCCACCTTTGATTGCAGACCTTTAATATTACTTTTAAATCATTACATACAAGTGGTAAAATTCCTAATTTTTTCAAAAACTTGTTTTTCCCGACTTTCAAAAGTTATATCTAAACAGGGGCCTCAAACAAGAGATGGCCGTAATCCTAACTTCCTATGCATAAAAAGAATTATGGAACAAGAAGATATCAATGGAAGTCCTAATTAAGCCTCTTAGTCTGGGTTAAAAATCAAAAACATATCTCACGTTAACATCGAAAAAAAAAAAATACATATATACCATTCATTTAAAAACAAATTTGAATGAATACAAAAAAAAATTGCAGTCATTATGAACACTTTTATAGCCCCAATATACACATCATTCAGCAAATCTACGAGATTCAGAAAATTTCTGAGAAAACTTCCATTTGTTAATTATGCAAAGATAAGATTAAACAAAAGGCTATGGGCCTTAATGTTCTTCTGAGTATAAAGACCTACATATGAAAGAGGCCAAAGAGGCCTAAAATAAATTGCCCAACTACTCTACAAATTACATAGAAGTCATTGTTGGCTCATCAAGATGTTTTCAGCAAAACTTGAAACCATATTCTTTATACATACACAACACAATTTCCATTACTCCGCACATATTGCTTGATGAAGAAGCAAGCTACTGGTCTAATATCAGGACCCTTGGCCTTTTGGTTATTGAGAAGAAGTCCTTTTGACATTTTCACACATTTGATATCTTGACCTTGAAAGTGTGTCAATGTCATTCATATTAACAAAGTTTGTAGCCCTACATCCTATAATGCTACAAGCCTGATATTAATCATCATCCTGTGCCTTTTGGTTACTGAGAAGTCATTTAAAGTTTTGAAGATTTTTGCCACCTGTCAAGTATTTGGCTGAAATCCGTTCAAGCATTAAGAAGGAATAGTGTTTTGAAGCTAAATTTTGACTGACTTTCCCATTTGGGTCCCTTCCTGCCTCCAGGTCCGCAGAGATCAAATCAAGCCTCTGAATTTAAGAAATGATTCTCCACTTTCAGTGATGTTTCACTCCATATTTGGTTGAAATCCATTCAAGACTTAAAAAGGAGCAGCCATTTGAAGCAAAATATTGTATAGTTTCCCCTTTTGCGGCCCCGTCTCCAACTCCATAGTGGCAAATAAAAAATTTCTGAATCTAAGAAATAATTGCATTCCCTAACTGATGAATCAGGCCAAAGCTTGTTGAAACATATCCAGGCAGAAAGGAGGAGTAGGGTTTCAGCACATCCCAACTTGGGGCCCTGTCCCTGAAACCCTTGATGTCAAATCAAATTTCTGAATTTAAGAAATTTTTACTCTCACTTAATGATCCATCAGACAAGATTTGGTTGCAATACACCCCAGTATGAAAGAGAAGTAAGGTTTTGAAGAAAAAGTTTACACACAGCACATGGCGTACAACAACAGAGGAGCACGAAGGCTATAGGCCATCTTGTCCTTTCGGGTCAGATGACCTAAAAAGCTGAATAGTATATTTGAACAACTAGATGAAGGATGGAGCATCAACACCAGGGATTTCAAAGATTTAGATTTTTTTTGTTGACATGTTTCGGTTGGCTAGGCCAACCGTCTTCAGAACATATTTACATCGAAAATAGGAGAGCTAAAGTGTAAATTACGGTTCAAGAAGTTGATTGTTCTTATCACTTGATATTCAATTGTGAAGAGTTACCCGGAACGCCACCACACGAGAGGGGAAAGGGGAGAGGGGAGAGGGGTTGCCATTGCAGGAAGGTCGTTTCAGAATGATCCATGAATAAGATAGCAGAGTTCGGAGCACAAATGGTCCCCATATGGTACCTTGTATCTGAAGGTAGTGTTGGTTGCTGAAATTGAAACAGTTACAGGTAAGTATTAAACGTAGGATCCTCAATAGTATCCATGTAGGAGTGGATTTGTCTACTCTAGAGTCACGGTGAGGTATCGACATGTAGAGTGCAGACCGTGGGATGTCCTAAATAGTTAATTTTCCTGCGGACATGGCCAGTATCTTGGAGGTACGAATCCGCTTTTTGTGCTAAGGGTTTGAGGAAGTGATCCATCGTAACTGATAATTTTTCGGTCGGTCCTCCAGAGGCAGAGACAATGGGTTGGCCTGGATTATCAGTTTCATGTATTTTGGGTAGTAGATAGAATACGGGTGTCCTGGCTTGTTTAACAATGTTGTATTTAGCTATGTCAGGGGGTAATTTACTTCTATGGTTCTGGATAAACTGGTTGATGTCAGACATAATCTGTTTGGTTCTGTTGGTAAGCTTAAGTAGTGTTCAGGATTGTTGTGTTGGCATGATGCTTCATTTATGTAATCAGTTTTGTTTATAATCACGATAGCGCCACCCTTGTCAGCAGGTTTGATAACAAGATCATTACGTTGTTGGATTGTTTTTACGGCAAGACGATCCATCTTGTTCAAGTTCACTCTTGTAGGTTCTAGCGGATTACAGGTTTTAATCATGTGGTTAGTTACATTAATAAAAGAATCCAAATTGTCATCCAAACCTGGCCGGGGTGTCCAGTACACCCATTTCCTTTTCCATGCTTAAACTCTAGAAGACCAATATTCCTTCAGAAGGGCTACTAAAGTTCTCTCAAAGACAAGATGAGCATTCGCCCATTTAAGGAGAAAAGTGGCATAGTGGTAAAGTAGTATATTTTAAGATAAAAGTTCATGAAGGTCATCATCAAATAAAACATGTAAATAACCTGCATAAGCAAATGTTCAGGTGTAGTAGGTGCCTTTACAGGTAAGGTGTAATGTTGCACGTGTTGCTTACTTTTTGTGGCCTCATATCACAAGTAGAATGCAGGTATATAGACATTCAAGGGCTTACTAATAGTCAATACTGACCTCTCAGAAAATGTCTAAAATATCTCTTTGGACTTTGATTTGGTAATGATCATAAATGGTGCCATGTAAACAAAAAGTGAATATCAGTTTTTATATAAATGCGAACACACGACATCCTCTTGAATATTTTTCAGATAAGTTCATTTTCATTATAATGATATAAAATGATGGTATTTTCTCTTTGATGATTTTCAGTCAAAATTGCGTATATTGAGACTCTAACTCACCAAAAAGCAATTTAACAATTCATTTTACATGTACATGCATGCACCTGATTAAATGTAAAAGAAAAACTGTACCAATACACATTCTGTATATAAATCATAGCAATCTGGCTAAGTAATCAAATTAATTAGCATAAATACAGTCATACCCAGCTGGAATTCTTTGTAGTTTATAAAAAAGAAAAATTGTCACATTGTAATTTAAAATAAACTTGACCATCCAATTCCAAGCTGGTCACAATGACTTCAATGAAAATTTCATAAAGCAACATTATTTACAGCAAAACCAGAAAAACTTAACAAAACACTGAATAATCAGGAACACAGTTATATGAAGATAGTATTGCACGGTGAGCGTAAGGAAATTATTCATTTACAAAATTTGCAAAAATCAAGAGAACAAATTACACATGAGATTCAATAACAGAAATGAAAAAAGACTTTAATGAGTGTAAGGGGAAAAAACAGCCCCTACAAGCATACATATATTGCAGTATGATTATGTTATTAAGGCCCTGCGTTAAGGATGAGAATGCCCTATATTATCAGTTGCCTGTCTGTCTGCTTTTTATATTTCTTCTGTTTTCTCAACCCTGCCTACATTTTTTTTTTTTAAATGTGTTTATAATTTGAGTCACAAGATTCTCTATACATCACAATTTTACTTCATAGTAACAAGAAATGATTACAAGGAGTCAGTACGAAGCCACCTTTACAAGTAAGGCTAACAGTGAAATAAAAATCAGTAAGTCAGTGGATTTCTTACTACATTAACCTTAATTAATCAATATCATTGGGTGTCTAATTGTTTAATCAGAAAATTATAGAAGTTCTAGATGTCAGCAGTGACAATAACTCATTCTATCATCCTTTACTTTGTTGTGTTACTGAAGTATCTTCATCTTCTAAGGTAGTATCTTGGTAAACATCCACAGTCTATATGAAACTAACAGATAAAACTTTGACACCAAGAGAATAACTAAACATTTTAGAAACGAATTAAATATATGATATAAAGACACACATTGCCCGCAAAAAATATCACAGATGTAATAAACAAAATATCAACAAATAACTGGTTTGGTCAGGTAGCACGTCTAAAACTAAACATACATAAAAGAGCAGATATCTTGCAGGCAAACCAAAGAAAAATTCAATAAAATCTGTTTTTAGTCTTATGACACATGGCGTTTATAGTCCTATGAATGACAGAGCAGCAATGTTTTATATATTTGTTTCTTTATCAAACTTTTGTAAATCATTTGATTTAACGATGAATTGTCATTTAAGTTCAAATCTATACTACAGCTACTTCTCAAAATTTCTGAATAAACAAATTATAATTGTCATTTATGAAATAATGTACACTGCAAATTTCTAAATTTCGCTATGTATAGTAATTTATGAACTTGACTTACCATGAAATTCTGTACATGTTTGAAGGGACACCATTTTCAAATTTTTACAGTAATCATATATCTGGTTGTTACATTTCAGAAGATTAAAATTTTGTAATAAGGCTGCTAATAGATGCATCATATGTAAATATTACTTGGTTCAGAGTGCAATAGGTTTATTAGTTTTTCAAGCCCAGACCTAAGATTGTGATAAATGAACAAAACCGTGGTCCATTTACAATTCCAATATAAATTCTTCACTTTAACCAAACCAAGAGAAACAAATAATGAAGTTTACATTTACTTAAAATAGTCAAATACCAGTTCAAACTTAATGATAAAATAACTGGGTTTCAATAAATGGGTTTTTAAAAACTGCTTGAGAACAAATTGATAACAATATATACCTGTATTGGTTTTGTGATTCTATTTCTTGCTCTCGCCAGTGAACATTGTTTTATTTTCTTCAACTTCCTCTACCCGACTATGATCTTTTTCCTCAGAGTAATTTCTACGTTTCGGTCTGGCATCCTCTCGACGCTCATCGTAAAGATCATGAAATGCCAGAAAGATCATGATAATGTTCTTCATGGGAAAGATAGATATGTCTTGGCTATGAACATGCCACAAAAGCATCCTGATGATAAACAACGGCAGGTTGGTAAATGCCACAATGCTGAGTTTATGTAATACCACAAGATAATGCTTTCGACCTTTATGTCCGAAGTGCGTGCGATTTAACATCATTAACGATAAAACTGGTACAAGAAAATTCAGAGATGCGACGATAAGGATTGAGAGTTCCAATTCACTCGATATCTCATCGATATCTGATTGATTAAAAAATATGTTTAAAACATCAATCGAATCAAGCACATCAAATAGAACTGTTCCCGAAAGTTCCTCGATTCGGTACCTTCTGTTACAACTGGCTATGGCATCATGGTGAGTAAGTAGTAACAGAACAAACACAAAGCTGGCGGTAGAAATTGTCATCTTGAGGGTATTTGGTCCAAATACGCTTGCTTCGTTCAATGTCCTGGCAATATCTTGATATATGATGAAAACCCTTGCTCCGAGGAATACTGAATACACAAACCATGCAAAATAGCAGAGAGGAAGACTACCGGCCCGAACTGTTGAACCAGAGCCACGAGAACGGTGGATGATACTGAGGTGTCGGTAAGATATTAAAAAAGTCATCATGAAAACAAGTCCTATAGCAACATCAGCTGCCACCCAGCCATACCAGTAAATGTTCTTGTGGTTTACTAAGTAATAGTCAAGGATACCACCCTGTGCCAAAACCAGAACGAAGCATAGAACACGTGTCGGGATCTGATACATAGCATTACAGCAATTCACACAGGAGTTCCCCATTCTGGCCCAACGTCACGGTCACAGTGGAGCAAACTTGGAAGTATGTTGTTACACAAATGATGACTGTATGTCAAAACTGTTTTATTCACATTAAGATTAAGATAATTATTGGTTAGTTGAATGTCCAATACTGTTCCTACGTATTTCCATTTGGAATAGGAAGTGGTCACAGAATCGTTAGTACTGCGGTACACCATCCACACTACACCTTACTACATCTCCTGTGAATGACAAAAATTGTTTTACTGAAATATGACATCTCAAGCTGATTTATAAAGGAACATAAAGGCTTCACAAGAACACATGACAGTTTCTACATTCAGGAAACAATTCAAATCATACATAAAGTCTAGAGGGCCAGGTGACACAACAAGAGAATCGAAACCCTTTGTACCAGGAAATATAACAGGTTATACATTCCTGTTTACCCAAATATAAATGTTGTTTATCAAAAGAAACTTCAAATTTAATTCATTTGAGGAAGTTTCAAACTTAAAGAACAAAATCAAGATATAATATTATTACAATGTTCAAATATAATCAGAATAAATTTTCAGTGAATATTCCATCAAAGATGATGTGTCTTACTTGCATGACTATCAAGTGTAAAAATCCATCCTAAAATAAAAGGTTAATTCAACTAAATCCTCCATGAAGTATCTTTTAACTCTGAAATCCTTATGATGGGTGTTATCTTCCCTGTTGTGTCAAAGTCACAAATAGATAAAATACAAGTGTACATTAACTCACTTATTTATGAACTAGTAATGATGACATCTTTATGTGATTACCTGGTATTGAAATTCAAATATCAATAGTATTTTAAACACCACTTCACCACTGCTTCCCCAAAAAAGGAACCATGATGGCTGCAATGTCAGTGGCATGTTATCAATAACATGATAACAAAATACTTATCAACCTTAAATAAATAGAAGTATTTGTCTTTACTAGGTTAATACAAGGATTTGTCAACCTAAAAAGCTCATGATCCATCAGGTGGAAGATAACATCAGCTTTCAACCAATCCTTGTATAAACCTTAAAAAAAGTCAACTGTATAATTATGTGACACAGCATTTACAATATCTATATTATAACTAAAAACTGTGTACTTTTAGCCAGGTTATCAATTTGCGATGATAACCTCACATCATGGAATTTCCCTGTTACTGTTTTTAGTTAAGGTTGCAGTTTGCAAATATAACCTCTTGTGCAGGAATACTCAAAGCAGTTTCAGATTAACATTGCATTTTCTAGAAACCTGTAAGAGACCTCTCAGCCAATCTGTGAAAAGAATTTTTCTAATGTGTAACACATCATTACTGATTTCAAAGCCTTTGCTAGGATTCGAACTCAGGACCTCTGATTTACTAGTCTTAAACTTTGCCAATCAAGCCAAAAAAGATCTCAAGCTGAGCTGTGCTAGTGCAGCTGGTATTAACCAGGTTACATATTGCATATATATTCATCCCAGGAAAGTGACAACGAACATTCATTTCCAATCATATTTCTTACCCTTAGGCTTAATGAAAGCACTATCTCATGAGGTTGGGAAATTGTGTCAAATCCCTGGGGTTACCTTCAATATCCACTGAACATCCATTAGGTGAAAAATCAGAACTAAAAAATTGAGGAATACTAGAACTTGTCTGAAATAATAAAATCATCATGTATGGCACGTACTTCGGAGGCTAGTGACAAAAATATAGGTTCAATCCAATCAATGTACAAACATGTACAGTAAAATCACATCTGTTGTAAAAGTTAACATGTCAGAAAAGAAAAACAATTAAATGACTTGGTAGATAACGTGTTTGACTTACCTGTGTAAGACATGATATGAGTAGATGTGCTTCATGTCATGCTTATGATCTTGTATTTAATGCACTTCTCGCCAACACTGAGGGTATACCTGACCACACAACCCTATCTCTAGTGCTGTTCTTAGTTCAAATACACTTCTATTATCTGCCTGAACAAACAGCCTTAGTACATGTGTACAGCCGTTTTTAATTACAGGTAACTCAACATTACCTGCTGGCTTGAATTACAGATAACTATTTCAGAGCTGCAAATGACCAATATATCAACTTGATATTTTAGAATGTACAGTAAGGAAATGTATAGAAAGTAAACTCTCGTTGTGCTCCACTGACTTCAGTAGCGGCGTGTCATGATAGAATAAACACCAGCTTTATTTCGTTTTACTGCTCTAAAGCACCGGACACCATTGACCTAATAAATGCTCCATTATGTATTAACCTTCTCTTTTTCTTGAGGACATCCCAGATTCCCCTTGATTTCCTTAACAAAATATGCCTATGGAAAAACAGTGAGAGTCTTTCCATTAGTTATTCTTACTATCAATAATGATTATCAGCTACTATCCTAAATTTTAGTGCTATGCAACAAAGGTTTTTATACAGGGAGAATATCACTTTACATGTATACATTTACAGGGAGAATAAGACTTTACATGTATGCATTTACAGGGAGAATAAGACTTTACATGTATACATTTACAGGGAGAATAAGACTTTACATGTATACATTTACAGGGAGAATAAGACTTTACATGTATACATTTACAGGGAGAATAAGACTTAACATGTATACATTTACAGGGAGAATAAGACTTTACATGTATACATTTACAGGGAGAATAAGACTTTACATGTATACATTTACAGGGAGAATAAGACTACATGCATGCACAAGGTGAAATGAGTTCAATCATATGTAGATGTAAAAGAACAGTTTTATAATTGATGGGAAATATCCAGAATGATTCGTTTCTTCATATACATTTAGTTATCACTATATTTGTATATTACAATCCACAGGTAAAAGTTCTGGACTCTTTAAGTCATACATCAGTCACCATGTACATGTAGTTGTATCACCTAATGTAAGAACATCTGTCTCCAATTCAGAGATTCTGAATCCAAGATCTGACTTGGGTCAAAATGTTAGAGGTTTTCACAGACTGAAGTCCTGGTTTGGGACGTCTGGTTTTGGGGTTAGAGGAAACGCTGACTAGTCTAGTAACGTTTAAGAAGTAGTAGGACATGTACCTAGAGTTTACCTACAATGATGTGTATCCACACATATACTTGTATACAAATAGAGGACAGGTGTGTGATGGCTCAGCTGCTACACATTAACACCTCAGGGACTTTCTCTGTCCACTCAAAACTACTGAACCGGTGATTATAATATCCAGATTGGTATTTAACTAGCCCGAGGGAAATCAATATTCACCATATATAGAAATATAGATTATCTATAATATCTATATATAGACATTATGATTTAGATGTTTTCATTTCAACAGCTCTACTTTAGGGGTACACTGGCTGGAAACCATTGATTTCTCATTCTCATAAGCAAATACATTTACCTCACCATAACAAAATGTATTGATCTGAAATTCTGTTATATAACTCTGATAGCAACAGAGTACACACACAGAAACCACAATGACATAATGTTATAGCAATAATATACATCAACAAGATAAAACCTTTTCTGTTCTAAAAGGAATAGAATCATCCTAAAGTCATTCCAGAACTTTTAAAAATGTGTAATTATGGTCGATTGGTCTCTTTGACAGTCAAAAAGGTACCGCCAAATGCTGAATGAACAACACAGTCACAAGGTGGTTCCCTTTTATAATATACAGCCAAAGATAGGTTTATCACTCTAACTAAATACAAATGTCAGTTACTTTGTTGCTGTCTTGTACCAAGGTAAGCCAAGGTTTGCTGTATTTCATCAGAAATGTCAATCACTTTGTTACTGTCTTGTACCAGGTTAAGCCCAGGTTTTGCTGTATTATATTAGAAATGTCAATCACTTTGTTGCTGTCTTCTACCAGGTTAAGCCCAGGTTTTGCTGTATTATATTCGAAATGTCAATCACTTTGTTACTGTCTTGTACCAGGTTAAGCCCAGGTTTTGCTGTATTATATTAGAAATGTCAATCACTTTGTTGCTGTCTTGTACCAGGATAAGCCCAGGTTTTGCTGTATCATATTAGAAATGTCAATCACTCCGTTGCTGTCTTGTACCAGGTTAAGCCCAGGTTTTGCTGTATTTCATCAGAAATGTCAATCACTTTGTTACTGTCTTGTACCAGGTTAAGCCCAGGTTTTGCTGTATTATATTAGAAATGTCAATCACTTTGTTGCTGTCTTCTACCAGGTTAAGCCCAGGTTTTGCTGTATTATATTCGAAATGTCAATCACTTTGTTACTGTCTTGTACCAGGTTAAGCCCAGGTTTTGCTGTATTATATTCGAAATGTCAATCACTTTGTTGCTGTCTTGTACCAGGGTAAGCCCAGGTTTTGCTGTATGTTATCAGAAAGACAGAACTATAAACAAAATAAATATCTGTGTGTGTACTTACTTTCACTACATGATTTCAGTTCGACACCAGTGTGGACAGCTACAGGCTGGAAGAATGTTACGTTGGGGCCCACACATCCTTTTCACATTCTTATGATCATGAAAAAAGAAAATATTTACGTGAATATTTCAATAGAGCTAATCAAGTCAGAAAAAATGACACCTGTTTAGAAATTCAACATCTCGCCAATCTCACCTGTACTCTTCTATATACAGCTAAAGGGGAGGATTAATGAACGTTTCAATCAATCAGCAATAATCTGGTTCTATTAATAGATTTGTATGAAGGATCAATCTGTCATGAAAACCTTGACTGTTAATTTTACCTGAGCGGTTATTTATTGTACAGTGTGTAGTAATATGTACACAGTGATCAACGTCTTTATACATAAACATGTCATCACTGTGTTAACATTATATATCAAAGTAAAGCATTCGATGACATCTTAAGTGTCATGTAACGATTGAGGGCAGGTAATCCAAAAGTGATCATTCACAGGTAAGATCTGACAAAAGGTGACATAGAAATAGAAATGGTGAAGAAAAAATAATGCAACAGGAAGGGAAACTTATCAAAAGGGAAGACAACAAAAGGACCTGAGAAGACACCAAAGCAAAACAGAAGTCAACAGCAG